TGTCAATTCTCCTTCCATAGGTAAGTGTTTGTATGCCAGCACCAGCAAATATAAATGTGCACACTGCTACGTGCCCAAAACTCCAATTGCATGCCGGTATGATGGAAACTTTTAAAGGCCACGCCAAAGATCTTCGGCATAATCTACACTGAATGCACCCTGGCTGTTGGGTTCAAGGACAGTCGATTGCTTTTTTACTTGACTTATTTAATGCTTCTCCACTCATGTGCCATACCTAACTCGTCAGTTAGGTTTGGCACATGAGTCGACAAGAAGAGAAGAGCGACATTTGAATCAGTTTGGTTTGGCAGTTTCAATTAAGTACAGCAAACAGTGAGAAGTTCAGTAGAGCCTGTCACATTATGCAACATTGGAATGGCTGCTGATTCATATGGCACAGTTTGTCCTCATGTGCCAAACCTAATGCGTAAATTACTGTAATATATTTTTGATATAACAGGACTTTTGATTGACTCAAAAGTGATTGGCGTGACCTGTCATGCATGAAGCTTGAAGTCATCACTAAAAATAATGGTAGCAAAAACTCCATCGTGTTTCGGAACTCACCAGTCTATGGCTTTGATTTACGAGTAGTCCGCAATCTGCAAAAGTCAGACACTGACTTACATTAAGCCCCAGCTTATGGTATTACCACATAATTTATCAAAATAATGCCACTGAACACCACATGTGCATTCATTTGGGAAAATAAGAAGTGGATAAGACAGAAAATCACCCTTGAATGACCACCATCAACTCCTACTGTATTGTCCCAAACACTTTGTATTTTCACTAGTGAGACTATATTAACTTTAAAAACTGTACAAACTTTTTTTTAGTTATTGTTTTAGATCTACACCATATACATATTCTTTATTACAAAGAATGGTGTTGTCTCTTGATTCCTTCTGCAAAGCTGTGGTATCACAAATTTGTGAGATTAACACAACAAAGATACATTGTAATGTCAGTTACATGCTGTGAACCAAGATGTGAATATTGT